ATCCGACCCCGATATCAAAATTTCTACTGCCGACGAAAATCGCCAAAATTCAAACTTTCGCCAATTCAAGCCTAATTCTACTACGGACCTCAAAATCACATTCTGGACGCGCTCCTAAGTCCAAAATCACCTAACAGAGCTAACGGAACCATAAAAATTAAAATCCAAGGTCGTTTACACATAAGTCAGCATCCGGTCAACTTTTCCAACTCAAACCTTCTAGCTGAGAATTATTCTTCTAAATAAATTTTGAGTAACCTGAAAACCAATACCAACGATTCACATAAGTCATAATATATCGTATGGAGCTACTCATGCCCTCAAACAACCGAGAGAAGTGCGAATGCTCAAAACGACCGATCGGGTCGTTACAAGTGTATTGCTCATCTAGATATCATGGCTATAGGGTTTTAACACTCTAATCGATTGTTCCCGTTGTTTTCATTACACTATCACCTTTCTAAGACACATGCCTATAAAACCAGCATTAGTAATTCAGAACTCTGATTGTCTTTATTAACATTTTATGCAAACAATTAGATATTATGTCTATAGGACTTGCAACATTCAATTTGCCTATGCATTGATCCAGAAATTAATGCACTTCCCACATAATACTGGAAATCAGAATCACTTAGAAATCATTCCTATAGGACTTGCAATGTTTTAATTCACCTGCATTGCCCACATAATACTTGAAATAAGAATCATGTAGAAATCATGCCCATAGGACTTAACGACTCAAATAAGTCTAAAATTTTCTATTGTGTAGCCTGAAACATGTTTGTGTGCTTTGTTGTTATGTGTGGAGGCTAACATGAGCCATTATTTGCTATCATGTGCAGTCATATTTGTTTTGAATGCGCGACTATTTTTATCATTTTGAGCAACCTAGGTAAAGTCTAGAACCACCTAATAGTAGGTCCGAAGCCTCCTGGACCATAAGCATGGGACGGGTAGTGCACGCATGGATACAGTCTAGAATTGAATTAGAGCGCCTTTAAGTAACAACTTCAGCATAGTCATTAGGTAGCAGGAGATGATAGTCTGTGCCTGCTGAATAATATGAGCAATCCCCTAGCTTAAGGGAGTTGCGAAGTATTATTTATGTTGCACGGGGTGATCCTTTAGGCTAAAAAACTTAGGACCCCCCTTTATGTATTCATACTTAGTCATTTAACGTACACCAATGTACTTGTATCCTTGTAAACATTAAGGATTTATGTTCCCATGTGTCATGATAAGACCATTTGACTTCTATATTTTCCTTTGATCATTTGATCACCTAGCCTGATATAGCTACGTTATGTTCCTTTGTGTCATGATATGTTCCCTACAATTGTTTAGTCTTCTCCTTTTATAGCTATCTCAGATGTAAGTGTCTTGCTTTGGTTATAATAAGGTTATTATGGGCAATAAATGACATTGAATTCTACGTTACATAATCATTACATTTAAGACAGATTCTCTAACGTTTTCAGCATTTAATGCTTATCAAATATTGTATTTGAACCCTCGTATGCTATCAGATTCATTCTTTTGACTCTTCTTGATTATTGAACTTAAATTTCTTGAATAGGTGCTGGCACTGAATCCTTTAAATAACCGCCCGTGCCTTTTCCTTTGCTTTTGCTCGCATCTATTACTATTCGTGCCTTTTGGTTAACTGTAACTCTTTACTATTTGATCAGCCTACGTGTCATGACACGTCATCTTCACATTTTTTAATATGTAAACTCAATTTTTCCCAATACAAGTAGTAATAATACTCCTTCCGTTTCATATTATTTGAGGTAGTTTGACTCGGCACGGAGTTTAAGAAAAAAGAAGAAGACTTTTGAAACTTGTGATCTTAAAAGCTTAAGGGGTAAAAGGTTCGTGGGGCCATGCCATTTGTGTGGCTATAAAAGCTTCTCATTAAGGGCAAAAAGGGAAAAATGAAGAGTTTAAAGTTGAACTATTTCGAAATTTAGAAATTTGTTATTTGTTTTGGAACAGACTAAAAAGAAAAGTACCTCAATTAATATGAAACAGTGGGAGTATTAAAGACAAGCGTGCAACAGTAATAGTAAAGACTTTCTAATGCTGTGCATAGACTCGTTAGTATGAATATGGGAAAAAGAAAAAGTAGTATAAAAAGCCAACTTGTGGGAAATTGAAGCTAATAATGCTTTTTCCTTTATCCTTTCTGGAATAACGACCCACAAATTTTCACAGTAATGGACGACTTCGTTAAAAGCCAATGGCATCTAATTGCAGTCAACCCCACTTTTCCCTTTTCTGTTTTTCCCCGCTCCAATTGATGATTTCTTTTTCAAGTCTTTACAATGTCAAATTTTTTTAATTAAATTTTAATAAAACATCTTTGAGATTATATAATTCCATGTCCTCTCATGAAACTTAAATGTAGAAAAAATCCAATTGCAACTTTTAAATTTCCATGAGTCGAATCAAGAATTTTATTTAATAAATCACGATATTACTGCGCACTAATTAATAACTTATGATAATGGTCCCTTCCCATGAAGTTGATAGCAAGAGTAACAAGGATTAGTCGTTCACCCACCACAAAAAAAGTTGTGATCATTAATTAAAGGAAATGGACATAAGCCGGTGGAGAAGTTGTCCCTATCAGCTATAATTTTTTACTACTAGTAATATTAATTAATTGCAGGAGATAGTCAAATCAGGAGACACTAAATAGGTTTTAGTTGAGAAGAGATAGCCAAATGATAAAAAATTGAAAATGTAGAAGAAAGTAGACAAAGTGGCAAAAACCTACTGCTCAACTGCCCTTTATATTTTAATGGAAAATAAGGACCATAGCCAGTCTTGCCTTATTACTTAGCTGTTATTGGGCCGTGCCATTTGGTAGGTGTAAGGTTGCCACTTTTGATTAAGCAACACCAGTTGTTATTCCACTTTGACAATTCATTTACCTTGTTCTTTTGTTCGCTATACACCATCAAATACCCCCAAACATATAATATTTTCTTTGGTTTTATTTTCAATTAAAACATATTCTTTTTTTAGAAGTTGATTTTTCTCGTCTTATTTTATCTTTCTATTTTAAGTAAAGACATTGAAATAGAATATAAGAGCTTGATTATCATATTTTCCACGCATGATCAACGGAATTTTAGATTTTAAATTTATGTACAAGAATAGTGTAATGAGTTTCTTATACCATGGATATTATTTAACTTGATATTACTTCCATTTCAATTTAAATGACACATTTCGCTTATCGGGAGTCAATTTATATAAAGTTTGACCAACATTTTAAAATATGTATATTTTTTTATCATATTGATATGAAAAAATTATAATTTATACTATTTTTCACATAGTTTTTAAATATTTAAATTTTATTTTTAAAATACTGAGCTGAACTTATTCAATCTAGCTTCAAAATTTAATCAAATTGACTTTCGATAAGTAAAATATGTCATCTAAATTAAAACATAGGGAGTAACACGTTACTTATAGTTTGTGAGTTTTTGACTAAAATTATCCCTTATCCATGGGAGTAGGTTCATTTTTGTCCTTCAAATATAAACTAGAGCATCTTTAATCCTTTAACTTTGCTAAATTAGAGCACCTTTGGTCTCACTAACCTCACCAACTTAAAAACTAACGGAAGGGGCAAATTTTCTAACGGTGATTGCCTGAAGCTTCTCAAATGATTTCCTTATGGGTTCTGCAAATTTGAATAGTTCAAAATAGTGACATCCCTACCTTTACCCAAGGAGTAATTAATGTAGGAAACATATCTTTTTAAATTAACTATCCTAGGTAGAGAATTCAACTAACAGTGTTCTCCTTCTTTCTTGATTGAGGCACGTTTTCTTTCTTCTTGCTTCTTCATTTCTTAGGTCAAAATAACTTATAATTAATGTGCAGGACTTATCAGAATCAATAGTGCAAACCATTATTTTTTCTGTTTACAAAGTTAGTTTAAACTTCATATGCTTAATCATCTCCACTTACTGGACACAACAAAAGCAATAGTAAAACTCAAACCAAAATAAATATTCATTGAACTCATCTCCTTCACAGAGAAATATGTTAAGTTTCTGAGAAATATGTTATAATATCCCTTTACATCAGTTAAACCAAAATGAAGAGTTACTAAAATCAACTCTTTTACGTCAGTCTTTTAGCGACACAAAATAACCCTTTCATGGACATCAAGGGATCACAACCGTCTACTAGGCATATCAACCTATCCATATAGTCTTCAACAGCAATTCCAACTCTTTTTCACCAATCTTCACCAGCAAAAAATAACCTCCTACAGCAGCAACAACCAATCCTTTTAAGCAGAAACTTACATATCAAAAAATATATCTCCAATCACTCTACTTTCTTGAGTTGCTTTCATATGGTCCTGGCTAGCAGGCCCTCTTCTTACCTACAATAAAGAAAAATATTATCGTTACCGTATCCCTAATATAATTAAATAAAGTGATATGTGTAATAAACTCATATCGGAAGCTTTACAGGAGCAGAAGATGCAATAGGAAATGAGGGTTCTTGTCGCACCGTCTCATCATCATAAGAATCTGGATACACACGATTTAACTTGCAGGTTCTTTTGTTATGGCCTGGATTATGGCATAAGCTACAATCTAATTTTGTTTGCTTCCTTTTCATTTTTTGTCTACTTGCTCCAACTTCATCAGGCTCTTTTTTGCGAAGCTTTTGTCTTCTTCCTTTGGTACTTTGTCTTTCCAATCGTGGAGGCAAAGGAGGAATGTTATTCGACTTAGGCCACATCTCTTGACCATTCATAGGTAGAATAGAACATCCATAGATCATTCTATAAGTTTCTACCTTATACAATCATCCACATATGAATTAATGTTATCATGTTTAGCCCAAATCGCGGCAATGGCATGCTTGCAAGGAATTCCTGTTAGATCCCATTTCCTGCAACTGCATTTTCTATTTAGCAAATCCACAGCCCACTTGTTCATTATGCTTGCTCCTATTATCTCTTAATTCCACTCATTTGATTTCCTGGGAATAAATTCAGCTGCTTTCGCTTGATTTTTGTGCAATACATCCTTAATCTTGGGGCAAATATCACCATCATTCCACTTGGTACCTTTATCCCTATTTGCTTGCGTCCTTGTCATAAGGTGATACCTTAACTTCTCCAGTAAAGTGATAATCGGCTTATCTCTAGCCTCAATGATCATGCTATTAAAACATTCACACATATTATTGAGTAAGGTATCGCATTTCACAATTTCAGGAAAGTGAGATTTAGACCATTCAGTAGGCGACTTCTTCTTGAGCCAATGAGCAGCTTCTGAATCTATATCAAAGATGTCAACCATGCAATCCTCAAACCACTTTACTGTTGTAGCCTTTGCAGCCTTCCAAAGGGCATTCCTGAGTGAGATACTACTGAATCCGGCCCTCTTGAAGTTGTTATGGAGGTGTCTCACACAGAATCGATGACTAACATATGGCAATACCTCATTGAACGCTTCAATCAAACCTTTTTGCTTGTCTGACATGAAGGTCCAAGTACCATCATCATCAATGTCTAAGTCAAGCTTCAAATAATTCAAAAACCATTCCCACGATTCCTTTCTTTCCTTCTCTACAACTGCATATGCTATCGGAAAGATATTGTTATTCGGATCAAGCCCAACAGCAGTTAACAATTGAGTCCCATACATTGGACCCTTAAGCCAACAACCATCCACCCCAATTATTCTTCTACAACCGCTCTTAAACCCATCTTTACAACTACTAAAACAAATATAGATTCTTTGGAATCTCTTAGGCTTGTCGGGCACCTCATTTTCAACCAACTTCATATAGAAGATGTGATTGCTTTGTTACGGTGGTTCCAAATCTTACAATCATGAGTGGGATTGTATGTTCTGATCTGAAATGTTCTATCTCGATGCATTCTTGAAGCTAGAATCTCCCATTTGCAATTTGGATAACCACAAGTTGCTCTCACTCTCGAGTTATCATTCTTGCACCACTTAATGTACTTCCCTTCATTAACTTCATGAGTTATTACAGCATATTTGAACTCATGCTTGTTTTCAAATGTCAATTCTAATGCCAACACTGGTTTATCCCCGTCTGTTTTAGGATTGAACATCGGAAAGTTGAAACTCTCACTGTCAGAGTCACATTCTAAACTCTTTGTATCATCCGAGTCAACGCAATCTGTATCACCTTCTTCAGCAGCCATTTTTTTCTTAACTTCTTCACTAACTTCATATATATGATTCACATTTTCATTATCATCTGAAAAATCATTTTCTGGAGTCTTCAAATTCATCATTAGTCGAAGAATGCTCCTATGTACTTCTTTCTTTTCTGCTCCACTAACTTCATTAGTATGTATAAGTTTTTCCAATATATGAATCAAGATGTTCAAAGTACACTTCAACCACCTTATGATCGGGAATATTTTTGGATTAAACAGTGGCTTCTACATCAGTAGAAACAAGTCGCATTCTATTCCGTACTCCCGCACTTGTGCCAAAAAGTAACAGAATCTCTCTCATAACCACATAGTTCTGCCATAGATTTGAATTGCGACAGCTTTCAACTCCGTATGGTTAACATAATCAATAAAATCTACACGACCCCAAGATAATATCTACTAGGCTGATGCTTCATCGTACCACCATGGGTGTACTTTTATACTGAAAAAGAAGCCTCGTATGCAGGGTCTGCCAAAAAAAATTAATTTATGTTAGACCTTTTCTAGTGGACACGTACAGAGTAATTTATAAGAAGAAAAAAGACACGTTAATATGGGTGGACCTAATTCGCCAACGATTAAAAAAGAGAGATAAAAGATTAGCATGTCAGAAACAACTTTTTATTCCTTATTGTTTGTCTCTATTCCAATATTTTTTAGTCGAAAAGCTACTGCATATCACTGCATTGCACGAAGAATAGGAGAGAATTTAATCTACTAACTTTATTATATACAATGAAGCTGTCATGTGTTATATAATAATCATTAAATAAACTAAAGAATGAGAAATTGAATCAACATACAGTAAAAAAATCAAAATTTCTTCAGTTTGATTGAAAATCCAAATAGTATTTCTTGCTAAAATCTTACCATAATTTGGGTATTTCACTAACCATGGCATCTAATATAATCATTGCTGAGATCAATAAATACTTCTTCACTTTGAGTCCTCTTCTTGTTTCAGTCATCCAAGCTTTTTTGAGAGGCTAGGATTTTTGGTTAATGGATTTCTTTGTCGATGGAATTGAGGGAAAATTGCAAATGGAACTGGTGGGTTTAGCATTTTCCAAAGTCACGTGAGTGTCACATGGGTTAGCACCGTTAGTTTTTTAACTTGGTTCTGTTAGTAGACCAAAGGTGCTCTAGTTTAGCAAAGTTAAAGGATTAAAGATGCTTTGGTTTATATTTAAGGACAAAAAATAAACCTACTCCCATAGATAAGGGATAATTTTATGTCAAAAACTCTATAGTTTGTCATAGATTATTTATTAATGCTATTAAATATAGTTACTTACAATTATCTGATTGTGTAATATATTTATACTATGAGTAATAATGTTAATAAGCATATTTGTGTTTCTTTTTAACTTTTTATTCCGTAAGATTGTGTAAGATTATGCAAGCTGTGGGAGGTGAAGATAGAAGAGAATAGGATATCGACTAAGCTGTATTTTTTTTAGCCAATTAAGCTCTTTATATATATATAATTTTTGTTCTTAGTAAAGAGTTATTTGATTAGATAATTCTTTTTAGGCAGAATAGCCTAAATGGCACTTATACTTGTGTCACTTTGTCATGCCGGTCCCCAAACTTAGCATTTTGCCAATTGAACACTTACACTCGTTCAAATTGTGTATAATGAACGCTTATGATAGGAGGCTGCTGTGAGTGTAATACAATCTCCTACACGTAGGATGCCACGTCATTACTAGTGCCACATAAAAAATAAACTATCGACTTTATCTTCATTTTTTCCTTACTCCACCATCACTTCTCCTTACCACCAACAACTCCACTGTTATCGCCGGAAATTTCCTCCAGTCACCGGAGTACATTATTAAAAATCTTGTAGTGTTCATTCAATTCTAAAGTCTTGTAGTGTTCTAATGATCTAACTGTGCTGCTGATGACATATACACACCAAAAAAAAAACAGGAAAAAAGAAAAAGCAAGATGTGTTTACAGTTGTTAGTCTCTTCAAGGGGGTGCAGGTTGGGAGAGGGGGGGGGGGAGGGAGGGGACGGGAAGGGGAAGAAAGAGAAAAAGAAATAGATATGGGAGATGGGTTTTGGGGAAGAACGGAAGGGGGGCTGCAGATGGGGGGGGGGGGAGGACGGGAAGGGGAAGAAAGAGAAAGATAAATAAAAATGGGAGATGGGTGGGAAAGAACGGGAAAGGGAAGGATAGAAAGAGTAAAAGAAATGGGAGTGGGAGTGGGGGTGGGGCTGGGGGAAAGAAGGAAGAAGAAAGAACAGAGATATTTTAAATTTTCTTATTTTTTTTTGTCTCTTGCTTTTACCTTTCTTTTTAATTTTTTTCTTCTTATTTTAATCATTTTTAGTATAACTTTTTTATGTTTACTCTCGTTATGCGCGTGAAATTCACGTATTGTGTCCAACTCAGTCATGAAGTTACCACATAGGCTTGGTCAACGGTCAGAGGTGTTTATAGTAATGTGTTTTGAAAATTACGAGTGTCTAGATGAAACTTCGTCGAGTATCGGGACCGGGATGACAAAGGGGGACAAGTAGAAGTGCCATTTAGGCTATTCTGCCTTCTTTTTATTAGTAGAGGAGAGTTTAATTGTAGTGTAACTGCTTTCCCCCAGATTTAGCATTATTTCCTCCTACTTTGAGCAGAAAACTTATAAGAAAAGAGAAAGAAAGAGAGAAAAATAAAAAAGAATAAGTGGCCCCTTTGACTAAAAAGGGACCTCGAGCATACTTATACATCTGACTGTGGAAAAGCGAAGTAAAAACAAAATAAAGATATGCACAAAAAGCCATATACCTCTGCAAGCAAAAAACATTAATCTCAGTTCAGAACCTTAAAAAAAAAAAAAAAAGAAGAAGAAGAAAAATCTCCGATCCGATTCTTTGCAACGATACACTTATGTGGGTTTTTCACTGCACAAATCCTTCATTTCTCTAATTTTTTTTCATCATGCCATCTCGCGAACTCCGTTCTCTACCGCCGACGCCGACGCTGTCTCAACCAGTTCACCGTCAGAGACACCACCTCCTTCCACCACTTGCCGGAGGTATCGCCGCCGCAGCCTCCCTCCTTATTCTCTTCACTTTCTGCTTCCGAAAAATTAGCCTTAAGAAAACCGTTCCATCTTCCGACTCCGAGTCAAATAAAAAACCCCCTCACCGGTTCTCCTACTCCTCTCTCCGACGCGCCACTTGCAACTTCTCTCCAGCTCTTCGCTTGGGCCAGGGCGGGTTTGGATCAGTCTACAGCGGAACTCTCAAAAGCCCAACTTCCAATAATGTTTCAGTGGCCGTTAAAGTCATGGACTCAGGGTCCTTACAAGGCGAGCGCGAATTCCAAAATGAGCTGTTCTTATCTGGTAAAATCGACTCTAAATACATAGTATCTACAATCGGTTTCTCTTCAGACAAAAGAGGCCGCCGTATGTTGCTTGTTTACGAGCTTTTGTCTAACGGAAGTTTACAAGACTGCCTTTTGCATCGCAAGTGCAGTGAATTAAAAGATTGGAAAAAGAGGTATTCAATTGCTCTTGATATAGCTAAAGGGTTAGAGTATTTGCACCATTTCTGTGACCCACCAGTGATTCACGGCGATATTAAGCCGAGTAATATTTTATTGGATGATAATTTTAATGCAAAAATTGGTGATTTTGGATTGGCACGGTTGAAATCAGAGGATCAGGTTGAAATTGAAGTGAAAAGGGAGAGTCATGTAGGAGGAAATGGGGTAGTTGAGGATAACGGGTCGGTGGCTGAGGAAATGGAGAGTGTGAGTGTGGTTACTGTTAATGGTTTTGAGGAGTTTCACAGAGGAGTTGAGCAGTCGCCGGAGAGTGTTGTTATTGGGGTGGAATTGTCACCTGAGGCCCATGTGGTATCTCCAAGAACGGTGGCGGATATGGTGTCCCCATCTGAGTGCATAGAAAAAACGAGTCTTTCAGAGGGTATTTTTGATAGGTCCAGTATAGACAGTGGGATTGAGATTGGTGATAAGAAGAGTGGGGTGAAGAAGAATAAGAAGAAGAAGAGTGTTACTGGCAAAGACTGGTGGTGGAAGCAAGATACTGGTGGGACGGATTCAGGAGTGGTGAAGGATTATGTAATGGAATGGATTGGAAATGAGATCAAGAAGGAGAGGCCAAAGACTGAGTGGATTGGGGCTTCGTCGAGTTCAGGAGTGGTAGGTATTACAGAAAAGAAGCATAAGAAGCGATTAGATTGGTGGGTTTCTTTAGATGATGAAAAGAATGTGAAAAAGGAGAAGAGGAGGCCTGCAAGGGAGTGGTGGAAGGAGGAGTATTGTGAGGAGCTTGCCAGGAAGAAAAAGAAAAAGAAGAAGCAACAGGGTGGAATAGGTTCAGTTAGTGATGATTGTCATAGTGACTCTTGGTGGGCAAGGGATGATGAATTGTATGCTGATAGGAAGAAGAAAAGGAGTAGGAGCAGAAGCAGTAAGAGTAGCATGGATTGGTGGTTGGATGGATTTAGTAGCGAGCTTCGGAGAGCTCGGAAGAATAGTTATGATTCTGCTAGTGGGGATATACCTAAAAGTGGTGGCATCAGTAGCACTCCAAGCATGAGAGGAACTGTGTGTTATGTTGCACCAGAGTATGGTAGCTGTGGTGATCTATCTGAAAAGTGTGACGTTTATAGCTATGGGGTGCTTTTGTTAGTTCTTATTGCTGGGCGTAGGCCACTTCAGGTGACAGGGTCGCCCATGTCCGAATTCCAACGTGCTAATCTTCTCTCTTGGGCACGTCACCTTGCCCGAGCAGGGAAGCTTCTTGATCTGGTTGATCAGTCTGTTGAATCATTAGACAAAGAACAAGCATTACTCTGCATTACTGTTGCCCTGCGTTGCTTGCAGAAGTCACCTGCCCGTCGTCCATCAATGAAAGAAGTAGTGGGGATGCTTTCTGGAGATTTAGAAGCTCCCCAACTACCAGTTGAACTTTCACCCTCGCCCCCCTCCCGCTTCCCATTCAAGTCCCACAAGAAGGTTCGGTGAGCTTAAAATCAAGTCTCAGTTCTGTACAAAAAGCAGTTTATGTTGTTGATTATTTCTTGTCTTTGTGGATGACTTATGATGTAAAGAAGAGATAGGAATCAAAGAATTAACAGTTTTAATGGATTTTTTTCTTTCATGTTCTGTTTATTGTTTTACTTTCGAGTAGGTATATGTGTATTCTTTTTCTCTCTGGAAGCTAAACAACAGTCAACAAAGCCATTTGATAATTTATCTTGAGTTTTAGTATTGACTCTTAATTGCTAGAGATGTTTGGACAAGCGGGAACAAGGCCCCAGTTTTAGGTGCTTCAAGTGTTTGCTTTCTGTCCCAGTCGCTGCTTATGGACCATTATTTTGAGACACCTGATAACTATTACCAAACATTGGCTGCTTGTCCCTTTCTTTTCCATTGTGTATCATCCCTGCTTTTGAACAATTATTCCGGACTGTTAACAGCTATTACTGTCACTACTTTGGCTTCTAACTGGCCCTTTACTCCCCTCCCTCAAAATGAAAAAATGCATTAAATAAATGGAAAGGAGAAGTGAGGGAGGATGAGGAATGGAAAGATGCACCATTTAGTCTTTTTTTTT